AAATTCTTTTAAAATATCCAAAAGCAAAAAAATAAATTTATGCACAACATAAACTATAGTATACAGCCATTTCTAATCTTTTAAACACATTAAATGGATTACTTTGTGTATTTGCGTAAAGCAACTTCAAATTTGTCAAATTTATATAAAATTACAATAACAGGTAATAATAATAATAATAATAATATAAATTTACATAAACTCCTTACGTAAACCTAAACCTAACCTAAACCTTAAGAATAGAAAAAACAGTAACAATAATAAATATAATAAATCTATTTGCATAAAGCAACTTCAAATTTGTCAAATGTATATATAGTTACAATAACAAATAATAATAACAATAATAATATAAATTTACATAAACTCCTTACATAAACCTAAACCTAACCTAAACCTTAAGAATAGAAAAAAACATAATAATAATAAATAGTAATAATATATATTCATAAATTTGCATAAATCGTAGATATTCATCCCACTTCGTGATCTATGAAGATCACAAAAATTCCAAAACATCTCCCCCTCCTCAAAAAAGGAAAAAGTAAATTCCATAAAATCCACACTTCACACCACTACCCCTGATCCATCGGTTACAAATTACGAACATCAACAGGATTTCCCTTCTCGTATTATACACCTCCAGTTCATCATGAAAATAAACGCAACGTCACTTTAAACGAGAGATTCACTTGAGTAACGCTGGACGATTTACGATTCGAGACATCAACGAACCACCAGACATTTCCAGACCGTGGACGAGGAGTCACCATACCTCGCTACCGCCTCTACACCATCACCTGCTCCTCGATCCAAAAAAATAATAAGATCGCCAGACGAGCTGGCGAAAAAACCGACGGACATCTTGCTCGATGCATAATGCAGATATCACAGGCGCGATATTTCAGAACGGTTTACGATCAGTGATCCGATTCGATCGAGGCATTTATTTCTGTCCCCGAGCTAGTCAACTAATCGTTATCTCGCGCTAATAAAATAGCTTCCATCCTGCACGTCCGCCAACGATCCCCCTTCGGCTTGTTCCCTTTGTGTAACAGCCACACACAACGAATTCCTCGGCTCGATCTCGGTTATCTTAGGCATAGCCAGATACACGCTTATTTATGCGACTGTGCCGGTAATTACCTATGAGAGAAGACCTCGAGAGATAGGGCGGGACCTCATTTTTCCAGCCCGATCGGGAAACCTGTTCTCTCAAACCGAATAAATCCTCTGTTTTACGATATTTTAACGATACCCCTGCTGACCGTGGTTCGAGGCTAAGGAATCCTCGTTCGCTTAGAATTTGACTACTTGAAAGTCGTGTGCCGTGTGTGCAGGTTGACGTTAATTATGGCGACACCTTGGTAGAATTCGTGTCCCGTTGGAAACGCGGCTTTCCATCCATTTTGTCCGGCTCAATGAATTCTTGGGGATGTGTAATCAGGAGTGTCCGCTGGAAGATAGTCCTTCCACTCGCGTTTAAATTATCGCTTGTGTAAGTAGGAATTAATATGTTCGTGGATAATTTATTGGTCACGAGGCTTCGCTAGAAAGCGACGTCGATTCGCGCGAAATAGGGATATCCGAAAAGAATTTGCTGATCAGTGAGAAGGATTTTAATGTCTTGTTAGGTGCAAGTATAGATTTATACGTGAATTATGCGAGTTTATTTTCTTCGATTGAATTCCGAGGATAGATTAATAGTTTGCGTAGAGAGATGGTGATTTTATTGGCGTAGACGTATGCTATTTAGTAATAGAAATAGTAATAGAAATATGTATATTAAACCGGAATGTTTAAAACGATATGGTGTACATACTAAGGAGACGATGCCTACATTAAATCAGTAAAATTGAAAAATAGTACGATATTTGCAGTACGCGCATTGGAGATGTGGGTCATGGTGGCGCTAGTGAGTTCAGTAGAAAATACTCTTAAGTCCGTCATAAATAACAAAGAATAGATAAAAGCGATATCAAAATTTCTTATTTTGTAATTAATGACTCTTTCGATTAATATTAAACGCTACTTTTGAATATTTTTGCGTGACCAACGAATGTGCACATTTGTGATAAATGTATTATAAATATTATGCATATCGTTCCTTCTCTCTATGTACGTTATTGTTTCAAATATTTCATATCTCTTTTTAAAATCGGTAAATACATCCTTCCTTCGTAAATTCTTCCCACCTCCACACAGAACTTAACGCAAACATCGTTTGTCTTGCCCAATTCGCAAAGAAGGACATTGCAAAACAAGCATAAAAATACCAAGGCTAACGAAATATTTCCGCTTAACGATATTTATCACGGTCAAAAAGGAGAAGAAATGTATCGGAAGTTAATTCTTAACGAGAGGATTCCGTGTGGTCCGTAGGGGGTTCCCCGTGTAACAATGGCCGCTCGCGCGGGAGGGCCCGAAATAAAGGGAGAAAGATGTTTCTTTCGTCGGTGATTGCATTCGCTACGGATTTTCCGGCGGCAAGGCGAAAGGAGCCTTCTTCGTCGCCCTGAATTATTCACGCCTCGGTGTTCGTGAATTAAGATCACCCACGGCATTCCGGGAACGGTGACTGGTTCTGGGAAGATGGCGCTGGGATAGCAGGCTAAACCCTTTCGGCCCCCTGGTGCTTTGTTTCGCTTAGTTCCATCTATAAATCATGCCTCGAAGCAGCATCCGTGCTGTTAAACAAAAATCGACACGATTTCTTTTGCATCGTGACGCCGATCGATCGATATCGTCAGTATGATCATTAGCACTCGAACATAGTCCTCGCCGTGATCATTTGTGGCGGTTACTTGTTCCTTATGAGTTTATCTGATGATTGAAATACTTCTTAATTTGCAGAGGATCTTCTGTTTTTCTTCTTTCTCTGTGTTGATTTTCTGAGAAATAACATTTAGCATTTAATTGCAGATTGATGAATTCACTTTTGGTTCTAGGTTAGAAAGAATACAGTTGTAGTTTGTAAATAGATTGATATATAAAAATATATACATAATTCTGTCTTTTAACACGTTACATTTCATCTTATAATAGATTTTTATAAAGCATTCGATATTTGCAATTTTAATAATTCACTCATTTTGAAATTTAGACTAATCTAAATATTTATAGGGAAGTCAATGAAGGAATAAGATAGATTATCGCTGTTAATAAATATCCACAGTCTATAAAGCGATAAAAAAGTGGAATCTTAAATGTACAAAGTACACCAATCCTTTATCACATAAACATAAACAGCGATAAACACGACTGAAGATAACAGCAGCAAAGAGAAATTAATATCGGGAACACGTTCGATTAATTTTACAGCCTCTTAATTACGCAAACGGATATTTCATTCGGCCAAGAAAATTCTCCTAACTCGATCGCTATTAGTTTCTTTCTCCGAGATAATCCCCTCTGAGCAAACGTGTTCGTTTCAATTCCACGTATGATCAAGAAAAAAAAGAAGAGAAAGAAGGAGGGGAAGAAAAATAGAATTCTAATGGATGAAGCCAACTCGCGAGCAATTCGTAGGCTAATCGGATGCTAGTTTTGGACACGTTAATATTTCATTTCCCTCGACTAATATATGGTACCAGGTTCCTTTGGCCACCACTGCCTGGCCTGCCAGGTTACAGCTTACAACCGGTAATTATAACCCCCCTCCCTCCGAATAATTATACAAAGTGGGCGTGGCGAATGTTTATTACGGGACGCCTTCGACCATTTCACCGTATACTTTTCGAAATCCTTTTTTCTTAACACTACGCCCGTGTAAAATGCGCGCTGCAACAAGCGGGACGACTTCTGGGACCTCTTCCGTTTTGCCTGTTACCAGAAGCACGCCTTCGTGGAACTGCCATGGTCGCGATGGAAGATCGAGCGATGGATATTGAGACGTTAACGATTTCGTTTAAAACCCACGAAGGCATATCGAATAATATTCGACATAGTAATTTTATTTCTTCCTGCGGGAAGGAAAAATTATTGGTCGACTCATTTTGCACCGGACGTGATTTAGGTTAGGTTGCTTGCGTTTCGAGTGGTCTGTATTGAGATGTTAAGACGCGAGTTTCTTATCTGATACTGTGATATTCATTGGTAGTCATGAACGACGCGATGAACGTAATGAGTGATGCTAAACGTGTAACAGTTGTAGATTATTAATGGCTACTTGTGAACAGTAATATAATGCTCTCTTTACATCTTTAGACTGTGATAATCGTATTATCTGTAGTTTGCATTATTGCACTAATGTAGTACGACGTTTATTATCGTTATCGAGTAATCATTATACTTTAGAGTATTATAATTACGTTATTTTAGTAATAAATGTATTAATTGTATTAACTGCAGGTGTAAAATTAGTTAAGATAACTGGTTTCAAACTTTTCATGTGTTACTAAAAAATTAGTTACTAGAAAGTTACTAAAAACAAGTAGCTTTGTTTTTGACAAGATATAGGTTTTCATTGAGATGGAAATATAATTAAGTATATTTATTCATTTTCGTCGTACCATTTTAGATACTTACAAATTCTAATTTTTGAAACTATCCAAATTTGTGGTCATTCGAATAATTATTACACGTTATATACCGAAGCGCATGCATACGCGATGAACTTTTCTCGATAACCAACACTTTCGATTTATTTTTATATAGAGAATCACCTTTCACTAGCCTGTACAATACTTTAGAGTGTACCCTGTATATTAACGTCATTTACATATAATTACATATAATTTAAAACAATGCTAATCACTCGAGTCAACTTTCTGTCGTCGTTGGAATAATTATGACCGATGACTGTACATGTTGGCTGAAGCGCATGCGTACAGCAACTTCCTCCGTAACTAACCTCAAATTGATAAAGTTTATTCTACAGTTTTAATCTATTTCTGCACACAGAATCGTTTTGAATCCGTTGATATAATATTACCAATGTAACCTACGATGTTAATAGTAATTTAGAACAGTTAATAATACGTTTCGTTTTTCTATTTCAGGCAATGTAACGGCAGCAGTACTGGATACGAAGGTTGCGAGTATCTCTGTTGTGGTCGTGGCCACATAACTAAAACCGAAGAGGTTTTAGAAAGATGCGACTGCAAGTATATCAGCTGCTGTTACGTGAAATGCAAGACGTGCAGGAAGGTGATGAAAACCTACGAGTGCAAATGAATGCACAGATTCATAGCAACCTCGAACCAAAATCCACTCTGGTTAGGTTCGAATGACGAAAATTCATTTAAACCATTGTTCGCACGGGGGCGCCCTATGAACCGTAAAGTTGTCCGATACGTTTAAACAATTAAACTTATTTACGTGATACATTTAACTGTCGTGGACATTTGAAATTCGATTGGATAATAATACGATTGGAACGAATGTTTGTAGTTGCTTTTAGAGACCATAGTAACTTCATCGAAAAACGTCGAAAATGTACGAACGATTCAGGCAGATGAATCATTAACGATTAACTTGAACGAATCATCGATGACGAGAACGTTGAATTAGAAAGTACTTAATATTAAAAAAAGAAAAAATTAAAAAAAAAAAAAAACGTAATAAAAGTCTTATTTATCTCGTCCGCTATTTATTGAAATTTATGTCTTCGATACGCTGCAGTATAGCATGGTGTTGTCAATATTTTCCAAAATACTGAAGTATCGTTGCGAAAGATGATTAAATATCGATAAGATCCGAGAAATGGTAATATTGGTACACGAGCATGAAAATTGATAACACTGTTAGCGGCATGTTAGACATAGAGTGGTTAGTCGCAATGTAAATAATTTGCTGGATTCAACGTAGTTTGTATTAAAAGTTATATTCTACAATAAATATTACTTGATATAGAGAAGCACACTTTTATTCACCTCGACACTCTCGATTATTATATTTTCACGATACACACATTGCGTGCATTTGGTGGGTACAAAATGTGCTTGCAAAAATTGTAATTATGATCAAAATATTAGGAGTGCATAGTAAAGTGGTAAAAAGTTGTTAGATGCAAGGGAAACTTATAAATTACAATTTGCAATTTGCATTTTCTGAGATTTTGTATCTTCATTCATTTCTTCGCTGCTGATACCTAAATCTTTTATAAAAGCACACCAATTTATGGTATTTCCATAGTCTGGTCCTTCTTCTGATGCCCACCAGAGTACCGCCTAAAAGATTTATGAATAATTAATAGTACATAGTATTTTCATTTTTCTTTCTTTTTCAATTAACTGTGGATGTGTAATTTATAAATAAAAATTAAGAAAATAGTATACTAATTTTTGTTGTAAACGTATTCAAAATTTGATTATAAATTTATAGGTAAATGTTTTATGCTAGATGAAATAAGAATTGAAGAATACCTAATTACAAAATGTAAAAACTGAATGATGTATACTACATGATCTAGTTCGAAAATTTGTCGAATATACGTGCATTTAATTAAGTTTTGACTGAGATAAGATGATATAACTAAATAGAAGTTATTCTGCATGCAAAAATAAATCGAAAATGTATAACACAATTTATTCGATTAAAGTTTCGTTTTAGAAAAAATCGAGTTTAAAATTAAGATCATCGACGCTCTAATAGCAGCCATATTGAACGTGTATGATCGTATGCATGCACGCGCCATGAATTTTGAAACTTAATTTTCTCGAAAATGAGGCTTCAAACGAAAAAAACTTTATTTTTCCTTTTCGATTTATTTTTGCTTGTAGAAATATATTTTGCACAGTTATACTGCTATAGCTATTCTATGTATATACTATATATATATTTCATTCATCCACAGTTTTCTTTTTTCACTTTCATTTATAAATTATGTTTCTATAATTTCTTAGACGAAATAGGAAATACCTGTGCAATTATCTCTTTGGTAATAACAACAATTTAAATCAATTTAGTACAATTTAAGGAATAAAGATTTTAAATATATTATTAAATATAAGTAGTATAATTTGGAAAATGATTCACTCTCATGATTATTGCTCTTAGAAATATAATTATTAAATGGAAAATTTTTAAATAAATAATAATACTAGATGATATTAAACAAAAATAATATAATTTAAAGAATATTTTACACACATTGCTGTCTTTAAAAACATACTACGTTATTATATGAAAAGTTATGGTACTCAAATGCACCATGTGCATAAAACTAGAATAAGAAAAATAAGTAAAAGTACCTTGACGTTTATTGGCACTGCAGGAGGAAGAGGATCTATTTTCATGTTCATAAATTTCAGCAGATCATTGTAATCCAAATTTCCCTCTTCGTTTTTATGAATGCTGTGTTATTTTCAATAAATAATATTATTCAGAGTGATCTTTAAAATTATCAACATACGAATAAAAATTACATTTGAATTTTTATATTACATGCAAAGTATTATATATAAATAAACTATAAGCAAATACTTTAACTTTATAATATGAAAGTCAAATATTAATTATACTTATTTCTCTGTTTTATCAATTTTCACACGTTAGGGTATTCTACCAGAAATTTTGGATATGAAATATTAAAATTACAAATAATCGACATATTTATAAAATATAAGATACTGCATTAACACAGAACTAAATTATTAACTATCTGTTAATCTATAATAATACTATAATATATGCTATAGATACTATAATACTATCTGTTAATTTACAAAACTAATGATGAAAGTAAAATTAAAATAAAATGAAAGAAATGTTGTAAATAAAATTCTACTGAGTGTAATTAATATTGCTATTTAATATTGCTGAGTGCTATAAGTCAATTGTCTTCTTCTTTCATGTTCATTAAATTAACTTAATTATCATTAACTTAAAACTTGTTATGTTAGATTCATTAAGCTGCTAATATATAAAAACAATTATATTAAATTCATTAAACTCCTAATATATAAAAATAAAATATTTATAAATTAGCATAAAATAGATATACTAATTGGGACTTCTAAATTAGAACCTTTTAATTTAATTTTAATTTTAAAGCAAGGATCCTTTATATTATAAGTTAACAGTTTCATATTGATAATAATATATAATTAGTAATTAATTAATACTTATTTCTCTGTTTTATCAATTTTCACACGTTAGGGTATTCTACCAGAAATTTTGGATATGAAATATTAAAATTACAAATAATCGACATATTTATAAAATATAAGATACTGCATTAACACAGAACTAAATTATTAACTATCTGTTAATCTATAATAATACTATAATATATGCTATAGATACTATAATACTATCTGTTAATTTACAAAACTAATGATGAAAGTAAAATTAAAATAAAATGAAAGAAATGTTGTAAATAAAATTCTACTGAGTGTAATTAATATTGCTATTTAATATTGCTGAGTGCTATAAGTCAATTGTCTTCTTCTTTCATGTTCATTAAATTAACTTAATTATCATTAACTTAAAACTTGTTATGTTAGATTCATTAAGCTGCTAATATATAAAAACAATTATATTAAATTCATTAAACTCCTAATATATAAAAATAAAATATTTATAAATTAGCATAAAATAGATATACTAATTGGGACTTCTAAATTAGAACCTTTTAATTTAATTTTAATTTTAAAGCAAGGATCCTTTATATTATAAGTTAACAGTTTCATATTGATAATAATATATAATTATTAATTAATTAATAATATACTATTATTAATATACATACTGATTCAGCATAGAATTTAAAAGTTCCACGTCAAGGGATGTTTTAGAACCACGAAGCACTGTGTACACTGTATCGCGTGGTAAAAATCCTGTCCTCTCTCTATCATGATGATGTAGATCCTCTTCCAAGCGATCGAGACCATTCCATAAATTTCGCAAAAGTTCCGTATGAATCAGCTGCCTAAAAAGAAAAAATATGGCAATTACTAATTTTATAATGTTCATTGAATATTATACCATTATTGTCTTCAGCAATGTTGATTATTTACCTTATATAGTCTCGACTGTGAGGCTCTGGTTTCTCATGAGCCGAATAGTGTCGAGCAATCGTGATTATTTCGTGTTCTGTTATTTTACCTTCTGAATATTTCAATATCGATTCCCTGAAATTTCATGGCAATTAATGCGGTAAAATTTGTTCACAAAACTGAAAAATAACATATTAAAGCACAAATAATTAACAGGTTTGCTGTTATTGATACATACGGTGTGTCAATGCAATTATGTTATATCTAAAATTATATCTATATATATTAAATATCGTATTTATTTTAAATGTGTGATATCACGCGTCTAATAGTATATTTATGAGAATATAAAATTAAAATGAAAATAAAATATTGTCTAACATTTCATATTTTTGCTCATCACACGTTACTTACATTTGCAATTATTATTATAATTCAATTATAGTATTTACACTGTTTAAAGTTAAAAAATTAAAACAAATATTTAACATCATTTCTAATTATCATTAATTATTATCTAATTACTATCATTATTTATTATTAATTATTATCATTAATTATTATTATAATTATTATTATTATTATCTAATTATCATTACTCTCATTAAATATTTAGCATACAGTCACATTGTAGCTGCCAACAGCCAATCACGAGCAATTTTGGTTTCGTCGATTCCGTTCCAGTAATTTTTATATCAAAGATGCACCGCGTTCTGGAAGGCCGATTGTCGAAAATGTCGACATTAATTAAAATATCAAATTGAAAATTACCCAACGATGCGTGGAATGTCGAAGTAAAATAATTCCACGTCTTAATTTGCATACGATTTCTCAGTTACCATTTTAACCCTTTGCACTCGAGAGGTGACCTTCAGTGACCATTTCATAAAATTTGGAAGATCGATATTAATTAATATATCAAATTTAATGTAATGTAATAGTGTGCGAGGTATCGAAATCAAATAATTCTACAATTCTATTATTATACAATTCTTTATTTACTACTCAGAAAAGTATCGTCAGCTTTTTAGTAGAGAATCTCTGAATTTCTACTCTTCTCTAGTCAAAAAAATCGTCGAATGCAAAGGGTTAAAAATATCCTCGACTTTATGGCAGAAATCCCCCGAATTACTATTCTTTTGTAACGAAAAAATCGCCGATTTTTGTTTTGTTCGTTTCTTTTCGTCCTTTTTTGTTTTTCTTTTTGCAAAGTTAAAGTGAAGCGTATCCGAAAGCAGACGGGACGAATCGAAAATCGAAAATCCATAAGGTTATTTACAGGATGCCATAATACCTCGCGGCAAGCTGGACGAGGAGGCACTTAGGAAATATTTCTAGCCCCGATGAAACAGAAGGACGAGATACCTGAGTTTTTCATATGGCAGCTCTTGAAGATCCACGCCAATTGATTTCGCTGGTGCGTAAAGCTGTATAAATTCCTTGTAAACCGGTTCCAATGTTTGCCGCAGTTTTTCCATGATTAACTTCGCGTTAGCTTTCGGGAACTGAAAAATCGGCAGAAAAAGCAAACGTTCGTATTTCAACAGCTTATCACGTCGAATTTGTAAGGGAACACTAATCGCGCGTTTTAAAGCCCGAAACTGTAGGAGCAGTAAAACAGCGAAACCTGTATAAATTATTGGACCTTATCGCAATGTAACTCCATGTAACGAAGAGCATAAATGTCGGCTGTGGTAATTTCGAAGATAAAATCGTTCAAGTTAAGACGTGCTCCAATATAGAAATCCTCCGGCTTGTAATAATCCGGTTTCTTGCTTACAAATACCTCTTGATTAGGCAACATCACCGGCATTCTCTTCTGGAAGGGACATCGTCTGAAACCTGTAAGTAGCATGAGAAGAACGGGAACAATCGATGAGAAAAGGTCGTCGTTGATTTAAGTGAAACGAATAGTTGTAATTAGGGTATATTCCATGGGCAGAGGATGCCCCATGGATGGAGAATACGTCGCGACATGGAAACCAGATAGGTGGGCGAAATATGAAAATACTGGGCTGCAAGAAGATGGCTCGCAGAAGGAATGCGGATCTGATTGGTCATAGAGTAATGGGTCCACCTTCCCTGCTATAAAGATAGAGTACACGAATTTTCATTATCGGCTGCAAGTGTCCTGATTATGCGGTATCTCTTGAATAGGATACATCAGGAACAAATGGGATGGGACATTGGAATGAAGCATTGGCGTGGACATGGGTTTGGTGTCGTCTATTTAGGGTAAGCCTATTCTACTATGTCAACGTGTAAATGTATATATGAAATGAAAATTATGAAAGTGGTCCAAGTCAAAATTTAGAAAGAAAGGACTTTATCGTTTACTTTGGGTTGCATTCATTTAGATTGCTATAATTACCATTTTTTAGCAAAATAGGAATTATTTATTATTATTATATATCATTCGTTTATGATATATCAATTGGTCATAGATCTACAAAGTATTAGATCGACCTTTCTCTATTATAAAAATAGGGAACTCGAATTTTTATTATTGGCTAGGAATATTAGATAGAGTTAGGGATGAATGAGGTCACGAAAATATTCGGGATATTTTGGAGGAATTTAATTATGTAGGTATAATTGTATAATTAAATTTAATTTAACATAATTACTATCTTGCATCGAATGTAATATGGAACGGAGAAGTATTCGTGTATATTCTTTGTCTTTTGAGATCTACCATAGATAAAGATTAATAATTTTATAGTAGATAAGATTTTATAGTATTGATTATTATAGTAGAATAAATTTTATAGTGTAGTACTATAAGTAGTATAGTGGTATAGTAGATAATATAGATAATATAAAATACTATAGCAGATAAGATTTTATAGTAGGATAATAGATAAGATTAAGTTTTGTATACAGTATTCGAAGAAAACTTTATATATATGTATAAAATTATAAATTACATAAAGAAACTTTTAATATATATATTTCTTTTTTTGTATATTCTGTATCTTCTGAGGTATATATACATATATATAATAAGATATATAATATACAAAAATTCGCAAATGATTTCTTTGTTTCTCAATTTCTATCAGTAAATGTTCTAGCTAATTGTAAGTAAATATTATATGGAAGATTCCATATGTACAACTGAAAAGAATTTTATTTTAATATTTCAATGGAATATTTTTTTAAATTTCTATAAAAATTACGGATGTTCTGCTAATTGTGTACCTAATTTTGCATAGAAATAAAAGAATATACAATATACGTAATTGATTTATTTTATTAGGGCCCAAAATTTGCAACACTTCGGACCCTTTGCTGGCCAATACGAATACTTCTGTGTCTCACTATATATATATATAACAGCAAATTCAATTAAATTATTATTATTTTTATGTTTTTATATTATGTGATTTCTTTATTAGTAAAAATATACCAATTTTGTTTCATTTAAAACGCAATAAAATTTCTGTGCATCATGGGTCTATTTTATTATCTGGAATCCTGTGCCGCAGAAAGATATATCAGTGATTATGAAAGTGGTATATATACCAAAATCCTTACAACACATTCACACAAAAATTTTTCGGTGAAAGGTAATATTAACTAAATTCAGTAATAGCAATAACCAGTGATATTCGTCTAAAATAAAGTATATTCACCTGAATTCCTCTTAGCCAATCCGAAGATAGAAATCGTGTCGTCCATGAGGAAAACTCTTATGATGAACTGCCTGTCTTGATTTTCAGGTATATCCGATATCATTTTGGCTTTGAATCTCAAAACGTAGCTGTCAAAGCCTTGTCTGAAAATGAACGCGAAAATCGTGATTAGCCACTGAACAGTGAAAATAAAAATTCGCGACTCGTGCTTCGAAATAAACGTACTTGTCGTAATGGAGGAACTTGACCATATCTGTTTTCGGTGGTTGCGGTATCATTTTGAAACAATTTCCCAGGGAATCTTCGTAGGAACCGAAACCATTGTATGGTGGAATATATTTTTCCACTTTCACGCAAATCTCATGGCCCTTTCGAGGTCTTTCCAGGGGCGTGAAGTCGTCTATGCCGTATTTCTTCCTTTAACGCGGTAGAAAGGGGACAAGAATATTATTTCTTTTTATTCGAGTTATATATAAATATAGAATATACGAATAATATATAAATATTTTTTAATTTATTTCATTGAGTGTATATAAATATTTTGATATTATTTCTGCTGCGTAGGTAGGTCTTTAATAGCTTTAAGCAGCTTTAAATTATATATATATATAAATAGTTTTGAACTTCTAATAATTACACTGTTCAACACGAATTTTAATAATTTTTGTAGAGATTAGAGATCTCAAGAGAATTGTAGAGATTTCCGAAAACTAATCCGTAATCGAAATTGCTGTATCATAATAATTTCCAAACGTCTAAGTATCAAATACATAATTTGTATATAACATTATAATACAATTAATTTTATTTTATTATTTTATATTAATTAAATATATTAATTAATTGATATGACTAACTTGTAATTTCATTTACATTACTCAAACTTATAATCCTGCGATTAGTATAAAAGAATGTGAAAATGTGTATATGTTATATATGTGAAAGATGAGATCTATTGAGCGATGATTTTGGTGTCGACTTTTATGTTGTCCAAATTCTATGTAAACAATGATATATTAATTAATAATGAATAATAATAAATAATATTAGTTAATAATTATTAGTGAACATAAATTGTTAAAATTATTAGCAATTTACAGATAATAACTGTATCTCCTTTTGTTATTGTACAAATAGCAAAGGATTAAAAAAATGTCCAAAATGCGCAGCAATCTGTTAATAAATAAACTCAGTATGCCCGTAATACAACCCCTTCATACCGCGATAATTCCTTCAATAAGGTATACAAGGATAAATGTTCAAGAGACATACCCCCAGCGCCATCTATGATTTTGGACTGAATGGTCGGAAAAGTAATAGGAACATAGAATGCGCGAGGAGGTCGTCTAAACAAAGATGGCGTGAAAGATGAGGACAGAAGAAGGTTAGAAAAGGACAGAGAAGTTCCGGCAATGATAATTAACAAATTACTCAATTTCTGTGATTAATTTATAAACTTTTATAGCTTCATCGCAAAGTAAAAACTTCGGACAACATTCTCATGTAATTTTCGTGCATAACTTGTTTCTAATTAGTTTGTTTATTAATAATTATTTAATGGTGTACGTGATTTGATAACAACGATCGCCATGATTGTCCGTGATAATATTTAATTACGAACAAAACTAGGAATAAAATATGAACAAATACGATATGAGAATATTCCCAAGAATATTGTTTTTATAATGCGTTCATGAAATTCATAAATTAATTGCATAGAAGATAATTATTAATGACAAACCATTAGGATTAGGACAAACCATAATTAATTAATATCGAAGAATTTTATATCGAAAATTATATTAGAAAGTTCCTTAAGGATTCATCTTTATGATGCAATTATAAAAGTTCATAAATTAATCACAAAAATTGTATAATTTGTTAATTATCAGCTAATTTTCACTTCTTTATCCTTTCTTAACCGCTTTCTGTTTCTCACACTTCCTCATAGATGTCACTGAACGAATGTCAATTGTTACTTGTACTTATTTTTCATTTAATTATTTTCTTTATTTCACCTGTAGTATTCTTTGGTGAAATTGTCCATATCTGTTATAACTACTATTCTGCCAAAAATATTTATTTGTGCGCCAATACCGAGCTCGTTCTCCTTATAAAAATCCTTATGAACTTTTCCAGCGTTCAGTGGATCGATGATAAAGTAACCATGAGTCGTATTTTCTCCCATAACATTCAAAACTGTAAAATAGTCTCCTCCTCCAATTGGATCAAGTTCAGAGAAAAGCTATATTCGAAATACCCATCTATTAACTTTTTAAATTACATTAAAAATTAATTAGAATTATTTAGTAAATGGCAAAATAATAAATAACAGTATTGCTTGGTTTTCTTACATCAAATTATTAATTTAAATTATATTTATATCGATTTTAATATTTATTTCTATGGATAAAAGTATGGAAACTTGTATGGTAAAAGAATAAAAATTATTTGTGATCGGTAATTGGTGAAGTAAATACCTTTGTAATTCACAGTCGGTCATAAAAGTATTCGAACATGTATAACGTTTAAAATTTTATGATTTAGTTTCTGTAAACTTGCTATGAACACAAAAAACCATAAAATAATTCTATTACATAATTAATACAAATGATAATGTTCTTAATAGAAAAATAATGAGATAAAGTGATATCTATGTTACCGATTGTAGACAAAGGATACTCACGTTTAAACTATTTTTGGACCACCAAAAATTAATACATATCAAAAGACAAAAGTAAGGACATGATATTTAATTTAAAATCTTTAGGAATCGATATGAATTCTGAATCATATTTTTATGTTCTAATACAAGTTCTTACCTTTGGAACCTTCATACGTCGTAAAAACATGAAACCGGAATCTCGTCCAGAATTTGATGGTATGTTCTCTTTAATCTCCATTGTATTATCAGCAAGAAAATAGTGAATTTCAAGATCATGCACGATGCCATAAAGATTGTCCGTGTCATCCCAATAACCATAAAATCGAAGCACTTGTTTATCATATTTCAAAAAATCTCCACGACTGTCGGTCGTCCGTTTTGGTTTCTTTGGGAGTGTTTCCTGTGATTATCATTGATGGTAAGTAAACGATTACATTGTGAATTACAATTAATTAAAAAATAATTTTAAAATCAATTCCTGAATTATTTAATCTCTGTTAATTATTGTAAACAAACATTTATTTGGAGAAACATTATATTTAGATAAAAATGTTATTTAATTTAGATAACAATTCTCGAAACATTTTTTAAATCAGACCTTCCGTATTACCTACCTAAGATATACTAACACATATATACTAACACTATATACTAACACTTACAGTCGATAAGAGAAAAAATTCTTCAAGATTTCTTGGAAGATTTACTAATCTTCAAAACTGATCAGTTTCAGTTTGGGCTTACAAATTTTTACCAATTGCCGAATATTACTGTGATTACAATAGTAAACATCATTTTTGTCATACTTGCCTTCTTGTGAAGTTCAGAATAGGGATCTTTTGGTATTTCTATCGGATCCGGAACTGCAATTCCCATACGATTTAAAAATTGTCTTGTAAACTTATCGCAGTCTACAATTTTATATACTCTTCCAAATATTTCCGGTTCTTTGCCAATATTTAGATCGATTATATCATAGAATCTATATCTTACTGGATCAGGCATTGGAATTCTTTGTCGCCTTACTAGGACACCTGTACATATTTTATTTTTTTAACAAAAATTGTTTTAATGAAATTTTATTCGTGATAGAAGAAAGAAACATAGCCAAAGTCTGTACATCATTTTTTATATACATAATTATATTATGTATGCAATGTTAGATGCAAAATTAAAGTGAAATTATAAATTAAATTAATTAATAAATAAATTAATTCTCTTTTTTTAAACTTGTTTTTGTTTATATAAATATTAATGATTATTTATTCAGAAGTATAAATATATATAACTTATTTATTGGAAATTCGCTGAAGTACAATCTAACAATAAATAAGATAAAAAGTAACAAAAAAGCAGATATTTTGCAGAAATATAATTTGCTCTCGTTATAATAAAAATATATATCTAACAGAAAGTATAATAATAAATACTAAAGAAAATACACCGTTAAACCTTGTTCAAGGCCACTATTGTCGATGGAAGGTTCAGAAATTTTCATTGTTCCATCCTCCAAGAAAAAGCTAATATTCACTAAACGTATCTGATAAGCTGCTTTCCATCTTTCATTAACTGTTTCTTGAAAAAATGCCTTGAACATCAACCTCTAAAAAATTCGTTTGATATAAAAGGTAATATTACCAAAATTTACTAATTTTCTTTGTTTAATTAATTTTCAACGACTATATCAATTATTAAATTTTATTGATCAATTATTTAATTGTGCTTATAAGTTATACTTGGCCATCATAAGCAATCCAAGGAGGTAGTTCCTGAACTTCTCCGCGAGCATAAATTGATGGATAGAATATAGGATCACTTTTGTCAAACTTTTCCGATAGGTAATAAACTCCGTCATGTATTTTAACAAAGTGGTGATTTCTAGGAAAATTTGTCTGACCGAGCTAAATAAATAAATTGTCATAAATAATTATATTTGTGTTTCGTTTATTAATTACTATATATATTTATTAATACTATATATATCATGACTTGAAACTCTATGGTGTAGCTAATGAATGTATTGGTTATTAAAGTATAAAATGTCAAAACATTATAAAGTAAGAACTTACATTTTTATCGAAATTAAATCCTGGTAGACATGGAAGAAAATTATCACGCTGCATTTTATAGCAACGAAAAATTAAATTAATGCATCAAATGCAATACATTTGAACAGTTAGTCACTTTACAACTTTACATATCTTATATGGACGCAAAAATGCGATTTACTACTACTTGGTATTGTTGTGTTTCCTTGGAGATATTTCGATTATTTCATGATCAATGACAGAGGAAAAAAAAAAACTTCAAAGTACTGCAGCTTTAATGCATATATTTTATTATCATTAACAATTTGCAATATTATACTGGTAACATTTCTATACCAGTACATGAAAAAACATAAATGTATATAATATATAGCAATATACAATATAGCAAAAACTCTGATATAAATATAACATGTATATATTATAAATTAATTTGATTCAATAACTTATGCTAACAATAAACTTTGAATGATACTGTTTTGTATTAGTTTTATTACTTAATATTGTAATGTGCAGATCACAACACTACCTAAATGGTAACTTGTTATTTGAATTGTATAAATATATCACATACATAAATGGTAAGTAAAGCTGTATAAAGGCAATAAAACGTTAAGTTAAACGCAACAAAAGCAAAATTAAACATACAGTGCTTACAGTTCAAAACATATTTAAGAGCATTAATGAACTTTATGTACGATATCAAGTCGCATATTTTATGAATAACGAATGTCATATTATGCTTATGGTAATATTATGCATAAAATTATTATTGTGTATATTATATAGATATTAGCATTTTAATGGCACTTACTATTGACAAAAATATACTACAAGTGTAGATAATAAAAAATAGAAATAAAATTGTATGCAAAGTAACTATAAAACTAAACACGTCTTATAACATTGGACGGCTAAGTATAAATATATACTTAGATTATAAATGTATTCATTGAAACTTTCTCGTAACTTTCATACTGTTTAAACTCTTTCGAAATTTATTCAAAATTTTCGCAGTGCGTAAAATTTGCTTTGACCATATGATTGAAATCATCGGTGTTTAGAAAAGTCGCATCGTGGAAATTCAACAGATTGTCTTCGAAAACATATAAATAACTGTTCAAATCTCCAGTTGCTTTTCTTGAACTTCTAGTCTTTAGTCTCTGGTTGTAAATCGTACCAGCTTGTAGATGATTTGGTAACATCAATTTCGCTCAAATTAAAATGAACTTGACCCATTATATTACTTCCAGTTGAATACCAACCCTTTTGAGTACACACAGATACTTCCAAAGTACGACTATTTAAATCACCTTGAGAAATGACATATTCAAATTGTTCATCAAATACTGGATTACAATTATCCTTCATAACTGCTGTTTTACGTTTGGTTTCCTTATGCCGGTCAGGAAGAAGATATAGTTTTACATATGGATCTGGTATATTATGCGGATCATTCTGAGGCAGAGGTAGATTACTGTAATAATAAAAAATTTATGAATAATCTAATAATCTAATATGTGAAATTCAATTTCACACTAATAAATTACGTACGCTATTTTGTGTACAACGATAATAAGCTTCTGTCTTTGTACGCTATAACGTAAAGACAATTGTATCCGACCTAGTTTAGCTTCACCTGTGGACGATGTCATATTTGGATTTCTATGAATTAACTGTGGGCTTCCAGTAACAGAAGATGGAGCAGTAGTAGTGATAATTAATTCCTCTTCTCCAGTTCCTGGTTCTTCAGGTACGATTACAGTACCTGAACCAGTACTACGTGTTAAACTATTAACTGATTCCTTTGAAGGTTGTCTTTTCAATGGACTGGGGGGAACTAAAAAAATTATATTATATCTCTTTGAAACTTAAATATTTCTTGATAAACTTACGACTAGTCGATACTGTGCTAATATTTGATTCTTGACGCTCGATTCTTTTATTCAGCTGATTAATATCATGATCGTCATCATCTTCTTCTGAAGTAGGCTCAGGTTCTTCGTATTTTAAAATCTGCATTTGTAATAATATACCTTAATACAATGTTATTATAACTTATAAATATATATAAGAAGTTCAAACAAATCATACATTTAATGACATAGATAATATTAATTTGCTATCAGTTTCAGCCATTTGCAAATCATAAGGCTGTTGTGCAATCTCAAGATTGTTCTGTACTAACAGTAAAGAAATATTGTAACTCATTTCTCCCACTATAAAACCAGTCTTTTCATCTGTGATCTAAAAGTTAACATAAATGAAATATAAAATTTTCACAATGAAAAAAATATAACATTTTTTTAAAAGTATATGTAACCTTTATATGTAAAATACCAGTTTCTGGATTGCTAACTAAAAATGTAAACCCTTGTTCCCACACTGGATCACAAGAACGTAACATAGTAGCTGTTCTTCTTGTATTTCCACCAACACTTGCTTCAAGATAAACATCAGGCTGTTTATTTCCTCGAACACACTGTAATTCAATAATTTCAATTTATTTTTCTTCATTAAACATTAACTATTAATTTAAATCAATTAAATATGCTTACTGGTAAATTTTTTGCTGAGTCAACATAGAGTATAAGAAGAGCTGTACTCATTGATGTTATCCTAAGTTCTTGAGTTTCAATTAAAGCCTGCATACATTTACAAAATTTTATAATAAATTTGTAATGAATATTTAAAATCTATTAAAAGTACATACAGTTTTCAAATCATCAACATTTTTTGAAAATTTAAGCCATGTTAATCGTAAATGAACCATGCCATGTTTTGCTTGTTCCAATGAGACCCACTAAAAAATAGTGCTTTCAATATTGTTGAAAATTTATTACTATTTTAATGCTATTATTCTTAATACTTACTGTGTCAATATTTCCCTTCTTTTTCACTCTACTAACTTCAATAGTAGCTCTATATTAAATGTAACAAAAAAAAACAAACTACATTTAATACTTTGTATAATTTACTTGAAATATAAAAAAAATGATGTGTTTTATTGTTTATAACGACAATTATATAAATATAATTAATGATCAATACATTGAATCCATAATGCATGAAATTTAGTTCATGCATATTATAAAGCAATCATGCAATAATAGCAATGCATCCTAATGTTTTGACATTCATTTTGCACATAAGCAATAAATTTCTTGTTATATACATTCATATTCATGTAAATAATGTCTTAAAATATCATTATCTTAAAAATACATGTGCTTTTTAAATATATAATTAACTATAATAAAATGAAAAGAGTAATGTGGTGACATAAATTGTCATTTTAATATAATTATAAGGGTCATATATATTTTGTAATATTTTTATAATATAAATTTACCATGTTTTTCAATATTTCAGTAACATGCACCATAATAGCAATATAGTAACTTCATTTTTTACAGATACAGAATGTTCTTCTAAACTAACTGTATAAGATCTTTCAAATGCATTCTATGCCTGGAAAACTATACTTGCTACAAGTAGCAATACCTGCCAAGTGGATCATCTTGACCAGCGTTGTCTTTGTCAAAAAGGTGGGCAACCACCGTGTTGTAAGAGGCTCCCAAGCTCTTTTCCACTATAAACTGTCATCACAGAATCTAGTTTAGTTTTTTCTTTTATCAAATGCAGTCACCTAATCACTCTCATAAATTAACAAATAAAATTAAGAACAAACTCTCAAGATTACATTTATCATTACTAGAATCTTATAAGATTAATTAAAAATTATGCACATGACAAATAGATTACTAAAAACAAAACTTGGAAAAATAATTTATATCATACTAATAAAATACTAATAAAATACAAATGCAAAATGAAAGATAAATAACAAAATAATGCAGTATTTACATAAAATGTCTCTTAATAATATCAATAAAAAAAATATTTCAATTGATATAAATCATAAAAATTATTATATTATTAAGATATATATAAGAATAAACAAAGCAAACACAAATGTATGGCACACATTGTAAATATGTAGTACATCATACTGTTAGCATTTAAAGTTGAACAACTTTAAAAATTTTTAAACAGAAAATTATATTAACATCGCAGAAAAGATCTATAAATATTAAAGCAATAATTGAAATTTGCAATTTTTGTTAAATTATTAAATATTATACTATAAATATATCCACTACCTGCCAAGGAAGTCATCATATTGAACACATGGGATGCTTACTACATCCTTATCCCAAAGAAATACCACAGCCTTCTGCATTATGCATGAACAGACCACAGCCTATGTGTCAATATGATAATAATGTGAAAATAATATGATATACATAAAATGTAATAAACAAAATTATCATTTTATAAACTTCTTTGTTCATAAAATACAGGTGTACTATTACTTTAAATAAACTATATCATATATACATATGTGCCACATAGAAGGATTATGAATATAATTAAAATTAAAAATTTATATTAAATACAATATAACAAAATTAAATTATAACAAAATAAAAGAAAATTAATACTGCTAAAATAAATAAATTTAAATTTACTTTAATGTTACAAAATTTATTATGATTTTATTATTGCATATTATGGAAAGCATTAAGTGATTGCTGACACAACAAAGTAACACACACACACAAACACCAATCATGTATCAAAAATTATGAATACTATATAACAATGCAGCACCAACATGCTACTATTTTGCATAAATGGTGGTGATAATTTAACATGTAATACACATAAAAATATAGAATGAGAACATGTAGGTGATAATTAAATGATAAATTAAACTGTAAATATTCTCCAATATAGTAAACAAATAAACAAAATAAGTACAATATGTACAATAAATATTAAAATTATTGAAATTATTTTTAATTTGTATAACTCATCTTACCTCAAATATACAATGAAAAAAAAAAGTATATGTTACTCTATTTTCATACCTTCCAAGACTTTCATCCCCCTTGGTATCATCGTAGTCCCACAGCAGCACAGTAATTTGTTGAGCGATGGCTGACATCACGGCACACTAGTTCCACATAACACATCACACATCACATACACACATACATACCAAAATATGAAATTAAAGTAGACTGATATGAACTAAGATGCTTCTGATCTATCTGTGAGATAAATATTTTATATTACTTTAAACAAAACAGTAATTAATATACGTACGAAAACGATTATAGTTCACTGATTTATTAAGAACAAACACTAAAATGTTAGATCAGCAACATCTTATAATAAAAATAAAATTAAGGACATATAAAAAAAGTGATAAGACAATCAATTATAAATATGATACAATGGATATAAATAAATTTTAAAATGTTCTGTGTAATGTTTTGTTTTCTTCAATAACAAATGTCTTGTAAATTATGTGCTTTTATATGTTTAAAAAATAATATTTCTTACCACATAAAAGACGTTGTGCTTGAAATTTCAAAGGACTTACAAGAAAAATGGTAGCAAAGCACGTGCATTAAATATTATTACTATTTGATTTCTTATAAAAAGATATTATGCATACCTCACACCAGAAATCCCATTTTGGATTCACAGTATTATCTATAGTTTTTGTTCTAAATTCTTGTGCTCCAACATTTATAATGGCATATGGATCAGATTTACCCTTACCCAATACTCCTATATCCTTTTTCATAAGATGTTTTGCTTCCACTACATGAATTCTTAAGACACCCTAAAAAGAAAAGATATCATTATAATATGCTGAATAATTATACATTGATAATTATTTTTATATATAAATTATTATAAATAAAAATTTACTTCAGGTTCTGGTATTTTTAATGATTCAACTGGTACTGCCTCACTTAATGGTATAACAATTTTATTTGGCAATACCACTAAAGCTGCTATTTGTTCTACTATTGTTTTCCTTAAAATCTCACTGTTAAGAAGATAGTTAATTAATGATATTTTTCAACAAACAAAACATATTCATTTATAGTTAAATTTTTCTTACTTAAATCCAGGTAAATCAAGAACATCTGCAACTCCAACTAAATTGAAATTAATAGCTGGTGGATTTAAGAAAAATGCTTGAACACCTCCAACTATAGGCATTGCTGGTAACAGTGGCTTCATAACTATTCTCATTAATCCACGAATCTAGAATTAATAGTATATATAAAATAATAAAGCTAATAAACATATATTGATGGAAGATAAATTTAAAAATATTAACCTGAAAATCCTTAATACCACCCTTTATATTTCCAACCGAAAATGTAATATCACAATCACCAGCATATCTACAAAATTGGACATTTAAGGCTATTTAGATTACATAAATCATATATAATATAATAAAACTAATGACATTCGTACAAATTAATACATACATAATATCTGCATCTACAATTACTTCATTTCTTGAAGTATTTTTATCATATGCTTTAATACCATAAATTTTTAAAGGCTAGAAAGAAAATATAAATAAAAATTAAATATATTAATTGATATATTCACAGTACTAATATTTACTATAACTAACTATACCTACACTAATATAAAAATTTACTTACAATACGACCCAAAACTAATCTTTCAAACTGAAATCCTTTTACTTTAAATTCTGCCAATTTTTCTACTATAGCAGGTTCTATGCTTTGTTTACAAAGTTCACGAACAAACTGATTTATACTTGGCCAAACTTTATATAAAACCTTAGAATAAAAACAAAATTAATTATAACTGATATAAGAAATAAAGTTGAAAATATGTAATATTAAAATGATCTATAAACATTTCCCATACTTTATTTAGCCATTCAGCTCTGTCAAAATCAGGAAAGTAAACCCAAGATGGTAATTCATCCAATCGACTCATTATTAATTCTTTTTCTTTAGCCATAACACTAGCTTGGGCAGTAATTGCTTTTAATTCGTTGTCTTTCCTATGTTCTGTTTTCCATGCTACTAAAGCAATTGGTGCAATTAACCATGCTATATTTAAATTTAGATATCCCCAACTCCAAATAATACCAGCAGTTGCCAGTTTAGTTAAAAATGATATGGTCAGTGAGCCTATGTTCATATATGGCCAAGGATTTGGCTTAGATACTTTATTGTCTTCCATTTATATCAAGTAATAATTAATCTTTGGCTTTATAATATATTCTTTATTAATATTTTTTTTTTATAGATATTTACATAACTCTTTGTTATGTATAAAAAATTAATTTAATTCTGAATTATCAATTAATTATTTTAGTTATATCTTTCCTGCAAAAATAAACATTTATTTATATAACTTCCACTCAAATTTTTAAAAATTTGTTATAAAATATTTAAAAATACATTAAAAATAACTGTGTACTTAAATTTTGTTTATTTAAGAATTCATGATCCACACATAAAATATTTCATAAACAATATTCATTATATTAATCAGTATTTAGTGAAACAAAAAATAATAAAAATACATGATAGAAAATGATTAATCACGACAAAAATAAAACTATGTGCTTAAATTATACTTAAATGTAATCATGATAATCTTAATACCTGAAAAATTGTTATACTGACATATTAACAAACATCACGATTAGTATCAACACTTCAGTTCTATTATAATTATCACATTTGTTACCATTAAGTACTTACAAACTTATTAAGTATCGAATTTCTTAATATAGATGAAGTCAATTACACCTATATACAAAACCATTATCATTTCTAATTGGAATATAAGGACATACATCAAGATAAATATGTTTTTAAAATTATAAAAATCAAACGATATTAATTGTGGCTGAATTATTATTTAACCGTATAAGCAAATTGTTATCAGTTCGGCATTGTATAACTGCAGAAAAATTAATCATCAGCGATATATTTTAAAATATATAAGCTTTTATTAATGTTATTTACCAGAATAATTAAAAACATTAGACAACATCAAAAATATATTCAAATAATACGAAAGCATACAATATTATAAATATAATAATACAATCCATATATAAAATCTAATTTTATTTCGTAACATAGATACTGACATACAGATTTAATATACATGTTATCTTTTATAATTTAAAATTAAGAATAAATGTAGATGATAGAGTGTGCAAATTTAAGCAAGCGTTGTTAGTTTTGTTAAAATTTAATATTTTTTTGTTCAATTTGCTTACACTTAAAGTAAAGTCATATGCGAACGTACTTTGTATGATTCATATAGCCGTTGTTCACAATAAGCACAGTTAAATGCGACAATACTCCTCAATTTGCTTCGAGGAGAGTCAAACGTTTTCGTGGAATAATCAATTGTTATAGTGAGGAATCTCTTGCAATGGCTGAACTGGAACATGTACTATATATAAACATGATGTATCAGTAGTTAATTTGACAGGCCTTGACAATGTAAATGATACCACAAGGTTCTTTTCTTTATTATCAATCTGCAAAATTTAATACTACATAATATTTTCATTTGATTCTTAAATAATAAATAAAAAAATTAAATGATATGGATAAATAATAAATTTTGTTTAAAAAATAGCGTAATAATTTATAAGTACTGATACATTTGGAATTATATATTCTGCGCAATTTTCAAAATTAAGAAAATATATTAATATAATAATAGCAATATCTTTCAAACTCTTCTTCTTGAAAATAAAATAAATTGATAAATTAAAAATAAAAAAAATAATAGTATTTAAACCAAGTTGATTAAAATACCGTGAAAGAATAAAATTTTGAACTCAATATATAAAATTTGTAACAATAATTAAATATTATTTCTATAATTTTGTAATAAAATTAATTTGTATATATTCTCAAATGCTTCTTGAAAACAAATAGAATTTTCGTTATATAAATTCTAACTATATTAAATTTTTATATAAGCTTTTTATAGAAAAATTAATTGTTTAAGATATCGATAGCAATATAAGATTAATATTTAAATAAAAATAAACAATCTTTTTTTATTATATTTAAATGATACATTTATTATTCTATTGTAATATCATTATTATTAATAATGGCAAAATGTTCAACAGTTTTCTATATTATCAACTATTAATAACTAATACCATACTTCAATTATACTAATACTGAAATATTTTATTTGTAAATATTCAAATTCTGTTGGAAAACAATCAGTTCTTATAAAAAATTGAAATTGATAATCATTTATTATACATCATATTTCATTTTTTTAAATTTATAGTATTAAAAACATAATGATTTAAAAATCTAAATTTATATTTATTATGTTATAATATTTAAATATCTTGTAAAGTTTAAACTGAATTCCTCGTTAAAAAAAAGATACGTTATATTAGATTAGATTGCAAAACAGACTTGATGCCTTTTAAACAAATGTGTTACACAAATATCTTTATGTTTATAAAATGATTCAAAAATAGTAACAAAAAATAGGGTAATGCAGTTTATAAAAAAAGTTTCTGTCAAGAAATAAATCTGCAATTATATTTTATCTATGGTCAAAGGATATGACGTTCTAGTCAGCTGATAGTGAGAAGTTAGTCGTAGTCATCTGTTACAGACGCCATTGTTATTGTGAAAATTTTGTTGTGGTGAGCTGCAGTGTTCTTTGTCTTTCTACACGGTTTATAATATTATATATTTAACATCGAGAAAAATTATTGTGTGTATATACCGTTTAATAAATCATTGTAATGGGTCTTATTTGCTCTACAGCACAGGTAAAAAGATTAAGTTATAATTAATATTTATATATTCCTTTTCTCCGAAAGCGTCTTTATATCTTAAATTACTAATTGTATAAATATTTCATTAAATTTATTCAATAATTCTGTTAAATGACGTTTTTCCTTACTTAGTAGATCATTCGAGGAAAATCCGATGATTCATCGAAATTTAATTATGATTCCGGTTATGTTATCTGATTATACATTGTATTGATTTTTTTTAAGACTTTTAAGAAAAACGTCTGTAAACACTATTTTTTTTAAATAAAGTAGTAATTAAAAAACAACTTCTTCAATGAAAAATTAAGAAGCAGTTTATTTAACTAAAAATTTATAGAAGATAATATTAAAAACTATATAAGAATAGTAATATATATTTATTTTTATTTCAATACAAATAAAAGAAATGCAATATGAATAAAATAAACATTTAATATAAATACATTTATATAATTCATATTAATTTGAATTTGATATAGCTTGCTTGCCTCTGTGGGAGCACAGCTTGTAGTTTCTGTTGCTCTCAGTGTCCAACATGCCGCAACAGTACAAGTACCCGTATTATGTATGCATTATTGTTAATGCTGGGAACAATTGCTGCTTGCATTACATTAGCTCCTGGTTTACAGGATGAACTTAAGAAGGTAATATTCTATGTTATGAAAGCATAATAAATACAAAAAAGATAAATTTGTTATTTACATTTTTATAGGTTCCATTTTGTACTAACAGCTCAAGTTATGTACCATCAAAGTTCACTGTTGACTGTGAATCTGCTGTTGGTTATTTAGCGGTATATAGAATATGTTTTATTATAGCTCTTTATTTTTTCTTAATGTCAATCATGATGATAAGAGTAAAAAGTTCCAAAGATCCTCGAGCTCCTATACAAAATGGGTATGACAAACTAGTTCATTGTATGAGATATATCATTCACAATTAGGTTTATTGTGTAAATTGTATTTTTAGATTTTGGGCTATTAAATACCTTTTAATAATTGGCGGTATTATTGGTGCTTTCTTCATACCTGAAAAATCATTTGGAACAACATGGATGTATTTTGGAATGATAGGTGGCTTTCTTTTTATTATTATACAATTAATTCTTATTGTTGATTTTGCTCATACATGGGCAGATGTTTGGGTGGAGAATTATGAAGAAACTGAATCAAAAGGATGGTATGTATATAGATTATATTATTTTAATTTACTAATTTTGCATTTGTATAATTAAATATATTTTAGGTATGCTGCACTTTTGGGAGCAACATTATTTAATTATGTTGTTTCTATTACTGGAATTGTTCTACTTTTTATGTATTTTACACATGTAAGTTATAACATGCTTATGATTTTTATTAACATTTACATTTTTAATTCAGTTCTGTTTACTTCTGTTGTTTAATATAGGTGGATAGTTGCGATTTGAACAAATTTTTCATATCTTTTAACCTGATTTTATGTGTAATTGCTAGTATTATATCAATTCTTCCATACGTACAAGAATATAATCCACGATCTGGTCTTCTTCAATCATCTATTGTATCACTGTATGTTGTTTATTTAACTTGGAGCGGAATTTCAAATAGTCCAGGTTTATATTCTAACTATATAAACATAATATATTAATAATTATTTGTGTAGTAACTATATTTTTGTATTATTTATAGATCGTAACTGCAATCCTGGATTTTTAGAAATAATTTCTGGTGATGATGCTGGTGCACGAAATCGTGTTGCTTTTGACAAAGAAAGCATTATTGGTTTAATTATTTGGTTTAGCTGTGTACTATATAGTTCTTTAGGTACTGTGTCTAAATCCTCAAAGATTACAATGACTGAAAACGTAATGGCAAGAGATAATGGTGCAGGTATGTAAAAGTAATTGTATCTGATATAATTAATATGTTTTTTATCCTTCAAGTTAAATAGTAATTAAGTATATATATTCATATAGCGTGATTCACGCAACAACATCCAGCAATATTTTTGTTTTGATTGGAGATAGAAAAAAAATATTGCTTGATACTGTTGCATGAATCACCCTGTATATAATATATTTATTATATATAGTATAATATTATAGTTACGTATAGTTAGTAGTTTTAATAAAGACATTGTTTTTGTATTATGTATTAGTATATAATATATTTATATATGTAAATAATTTATTAAAATGTTTTTAACAAATTATACTTTCTTCACACAGTCAGGAATACAGCAGACCAAAGTCTTATCGACAATGAAGGTAGGCACACACTATTAGAATAAAATATAATTACTGTATTTTTATTCTTTCAGTTTTGTTTTATTATTGAAAAATGTAGCATCATATTGTATGGATATAATATTACATTTCTATGCATTTGCACAAATTTAGTTAGTTCCCAATATTTGGTATACATAATTCGTAGATTATTTATTTTGTATTAGAATTCATATTTTAAAATATATATGAAGCATAAATGATCTGCTTAGTAGTAGCGTGTGCCTGCTTTCAGTATTTTGCACATTTTCTTTTTTTGTTTTATTTTTATAATTGATTGTCAAAAGTAATTGTTACACTTTCGATACAAGCATTTGATGTTTAATGTTGTTAGTATTTATAAATATAATTTTTATGATATATAAAAATATATTTCTTTTTATTAATTTTTATTTATTAATACATGTGATGCTGCTAAATTTAATATGTTCTTTCTTTTATATGCATACATAATTTAAAACAAATTTATTATATGCATGAATACAGTATAATACTTGAGCTTTGCTATATTGTTAATCCGATCAGGAAAATTTGGGGCATTGATAACTGCACTGTAGATAGAGATTTTCTTTTAAGTTATTCCTCCTTTTCCTAATTGTAACCAGATTATACTCCGGTAAAAGGTCGCAATGTCGATGCAGAAAATCAGAATGAAACAAAAGTCTGGGATAATGAAGAAGATTCAATAGCATACAACTGGAGTTTCTTCCATCTTATGTTTGCTCTTGCTACCTTGTATGTTATGATGACACTTACTAATTGGTATCAGTAAGTATTTACATATAGATAAAATCCTATTGTTTTCATTTTAAATATACAAATTGTATTATTTTTATAGACCAAATTCCAATTTGGACACCTTGAATGCAAATACTGCTTCAATGTGGGTAAAAATTATATCTGCCTGGATGTGCTTAGGGTTGTATACTTGGTCACTGATAGCTCCAGCAATATTAAGAAATCGAGATTTCTCGTAAATACATTATTTTCACGTCAAAAGTGGTAATTGACAGGTATATAAATTCTTATGATATACAGTGATTAATATTCAAATATTCTTAACCTATAAATTTTATTATTATTTATGAGCTTCCATAGATATGTTAAATTTCTATATTTCTGCAGAAGTTACTTAGTTAAATTATTTAAAATCTAGTTATTATATATGTTTCAAAGTCATTTATTTATAAACAATATTTAACTGAAAGTATAACAATTATGCCATTAATAGTACTACTATAATGAATAATTAGTAATAAACATAGATATATATTAATAAATCATTATGTATTCTATTTATTTTTTATTTTCATTTCACATAAAATACATATGAAGGTAAGAATATTATATAATAGAAGTTTCTATTACTTTTATGTATTTCTTTAATTTTCTTAGATATCCAAAATAAACTTTAGTTATATTGTTATTTGTTTGACTAATATTAATTTGTACATCTGTTATATTTCTTTTTAATTTTGATTTGTATAATACCTTACATATTGTTTGTTTTTCTTTCCAATTTATATTGGTTTTCTTTACTTTCAGTTTTTGCAATGCCTGCATAGTTAAACCTTTGTTGTAAAATTCTCACCTATAGAATGGTGACATTGTAAGTATCATTTGATACATTGTTTTGTTCAGTACTTGTAAGTTGATATTTCTTTATAGTATTATGGTATCATTGATAAAACATTTTTATATATTGAATAGTATCTAATAAACTACTAGTTTATATAAGCCTTCTTCAAAAGAATACAGATTTTTAATGTTTTTGGAAAAATTTTACTTTAAATAATAATTGTTTTGCAATCGATTTATATAATAACAGTATGAATTACTTCTTGTATGTATTTTAAATATTTAAGGTATAATTATACTTTTACATAGAGATTAACAAATTTTAATTAAAATTAGTTAAAATAATAAGAAATGAAATGTCAAAATATATTTAAGTTCTATATATATGTATATATGTTTACCAATTCTTAATATCGCATTTTACATTTAATAACTTTAGTATGATAATAATTGTAAAGAAAAATATTCTTTTTTAATGATACTCTTTACTCTGATTAAGATAATAAAGATATTAAATTCAGTATTGTAAAAGATTTTTTATTAGTCCTTGATAATTATATTTTATTGATTATTATTTAAAGCTTACTACATTATGATAAAAAAATAAATAACATTATTATCTAATAATAATTTAGATATATATTATAATATTCATTTTATTAAATATTAACTACATATTAATAATATGTAGTTGTACATATAAAGAAGACATATAGATATAAAATGTTTGTGGATATAAATGAAAATTTCGCCAATGAATGTATTGCCATAAAATTTAGATAAAATAAATTTTGTATTGTTACAAATGTTCTTAACGACTCTTTTATGATGGAACAAGTACAACAAAAAGAAAAGCATTTTTAAGTAAATAATAATACACTAAAAATCAGGTAAAAATATTTATATGTAACATAACATTTAACATTTACAAATATTTTTAAAAATATAATATTTAAATTATAAAAATACATATTATTTACAGATACTTATACAAATCAAATATAAGAATATTTATATAAATTATAATCGTTCTTAGCTGTCATATACATTGTATATGAGGGCAAGCTATGGATTCTATTTTACTAAAAATAAAATAAAAATTTCAGACAATATTTACAATAGTTTTGATCACTTGGATTAAATTAAAATTATTTTATTATAATAAAAGATTATTGCAATTTCAACGACTTCGTCGTTGTTTCTGGCACTGAAGATTTTTTCATTAAATAATTTTTAATATTTTGGAATGGTGTGTCAACCAGTAAGGTAAGAATTATTGATAAAATAATAATCCATAAAAATTCATTTAAGTTGAACTAAAAGAAATAAGTATATTATTAATAACTATATTTATGCATATATTTATATTACAACTTACTTGCATGCTAAAGAATGCAAAATGTTCAGCACTTCGAGTTCTTCCCACATTGTAAAAGTAAATTGGAAATTGTGTTAAATATAATGCATAACTCAGCCTTGTAGTAATAAGAAATCCTTTCCATGCTAAAAATCTACTGAACCAACCTAAAATTTTATTCATTAGTTTTACATTTATTTACACTTACATAACTATTTCCCATAATGTGGTTTTTACCATTTGTATTTCCAGTATGGTGCATCACAGTTACCCATGCAAAAATGGCACACCAACCAATAGGAGCAAATGCATTATACATCGCTGCATCTATTGGATTATATACATAATCTATAGACCCCATACGTGCAGGTCCAAAAAATGCACAACAGAACATTATTATGCAGGTAATCCAACCTGTATATAGAACTGTCTAAAAAGAATGAAAATAATTAAATACTACAAAGACACGAATATATTAATATTTATAAATTGCTATAAATGTGCTTACTTTGCTCACTTTATAATCACTAGGTAAATGTCTTAATAAGTAACCCATAAAGATCCCTATTATATAAACTGTAAGTCTATGTGATGGTAAAGTATATGAAAAATTTGCAGTATCAAATAATTGTTTTATTCTGTAAATATATAAATATATTATGGAAAAAGTATAAACATAAAGAAATTTGTATTTGATATAGTTAAAATTTTTTAATTTATTAACTTACGATGTACCAAAGAAAACATAATTATTTAATTCTTTGTAATATGTTACGAAATAGCGAAGTGCTGTTGAAAATAAAGCACACATAACAAGAACAATAGTTCCAGTCTTTGGTTTCTTATAGAGGAGAAGTACCATTAAAGGTGAAAGAATAAATAGTTGAGTATCTATACCTAAGTGATGAGTGTGTGTAAGACACTAATATTAAAAAAAAAATATTATTAAACACTTATCTGTTGTGTTTATAAAATTTAAAATAAAATTCATACCATAGATTCAAATCCAAAATAATTATGGATGAATAGAAAATTTCTCCACCATGTTCTTTTACAAATATTGGCATGTTCAGTTATCACTAAGTTCCACTGTGGTCCAGAACCAATATAAGGTATCACATAAGTACAAAACAACATCAGGGTTGCTAAAGGTGGCACTAGTCTAAGAAGAAAAATTAGTATTTAATTGGCAATAAATTATATAATTGAATTTAATCTTTATTTTGATTTATATTTATTTGTGTCTCATCTTTGAAACAAGAATGACATTATGGAAATTATATTAAATTAAAAATTATATGGTATAAGTTACTGATTTTAAAAAAAGCTCTATCACCTGATTAAACGAGACAAGTATTCATTTTTAATATCCAAATTGCCAGTTTTTTTTAATTTTCCAATAAAAGAATACGATGTTAAAAGACCAGAAAGCATTATAAATGGATCTGTGTAAAGGCTAGCAGCTCTTCCTATGACTGTCCATGGTTTACCAAGATACTAAAAAAAGAAGTAAATTATACATTTCCATTTTAAATTTATCAATAGTTTCTTCATTAAATAATACAGTTATACCTCACTCATTTCTGTTCTGTTTGTATAAGGATTAAAAAAGAGAGCCATGCTTTTATGAGCTAAAAGCAACATTATAGCATTTATAGCTCTTACACCATGAAGTGTAGCTATATCACTTTGCCTTCGTTCTAATGATACAAGTTTTTTGAAGTTACGTTTTAAAGAAAATGATAAAAGTAGTTCATTTGCTGGTATTTTGTAATGATCATAACATGCTGCTATGATTGTTAATGCAAATATAGCCATGAAGAATAAACTGAAAATAATATCAGTTAACACTTTAATGGAATATTAGATATTATCCTTTATTTAAAATACACTATTATGAATTTATTTTTCAATTATCTGTTATTTATAATGACTCTTTTTACCTAATAAACATAGTTTCATTTGGTACAGATTCTTTTCTTTTTATTTGGCACATTTCTTCATTCACCTTCACTGTAATCTTCAAACCAGTTTGTGAAGTATATCTTGTAAGAATGTCATGAATAGATGTTTCAACATCTTTAAAACTACATGATGCTGGTGTACAAACTGCCCAGTTTACTATACTAAACCGAGGTACCCGATGTCCAGGCTAAAAATAAAATAATCAGATATTAATAAAAATATAGTATAACTATTTTATTGTAAGATGGTTTATTATAATTATGAATATCAAGATATGATACAATTTATTTTTATAATATTTGTTGTAGTTATTTATATTATAATTATAGTAATTCAATATAGAAAAAATAATAAAAGTAAATATCAAATATAATGTATTTGATCAAGTTGTTATTAATTTAAAACATAAAATTACAATTTTTTAATTTTTTATGAGAATGGCATTGTTATAAATATAGTTCAAAATTTATTTAAGAATATGAAGATCACATTCAGTATAAGTAGTATTAATGTAGATTGTATTTTGGCATTTTCGTCACATTCTGAAATACAGAGGGTAATTCCCATGCAGAACATGCAACAAGTAACGACACGAATCACTTTCTCGAATTACGTTACGTTATCTAAAAGTATTGTATTGATTGTAAAACTTGTAGGAGTTGTCGTAACGAAAATGAATTAAGATTATTAAGAAATTCTAACATATCTCCATAAATTTTATTCTAATATATAATAGCACATAGTCATTTGATTAATAACTCTGTATATATATTGAGATATTATTTCGAAATATAAAATACCGATAATGTAATTATTTAAATATACAGAGTGTTATCTCTAACATGATTTTTTTAGTTCGATTTAGCACGATTTTTTAGTTATAAACGCTAACAGTTAAGAAACAAAATTTCATCCGAGATTCTAATTGGCAGTATAATTTAGTAAATTATAATTTTACTCTAATCTTATTCTTTAAAATATTTATTATAATATACAATTCGTAATTGTATAATATATAGTGCAAAGTTGCTTTAATTAATATAATATTATATTTGTCTTATTTATTTTAAAGGAGAATCAAGACAAAAATAAATGTTCACGGATGAAAGTTAAAATATAATTATACGTGCATGATTTCTTATTAGCAATTGGCTGCACGCATCGAAGTGGTCGATGTCTCGCTTAAAATTCATAATACATTACTGTTTTCGACGTAGCTATGGATCAAATAAATTTTTTTAGTTTTCTTCTTTGATAGAGTATCTAAATTTACATAGATACCTGCATGGTAATTTGCTGATCGATTATGTATTCATGTATTATAAAATTCTATATGTTAACCATCACTTTTACGATGTAAATTTATAGACACAGAACTTCTTTTTGATTATACGATTCTAAATTTAATTTAGAAAAAATTTGCAGAGCTTCGTCATTATTCTCTGACGAAAATGTTATATTTCTTTTCTTCTCTTTTCTTCTTTTTTTTCGTTTGCAACAAATGAATTAAAAGTGTAAATGGCATCTTTTAATGAGTCACGACTTGGATTGTAAGATTTAATAAGCTCAATTGTAAAAGAATCCTATTATTCGTTCTTGAGAATAAAAAAGGACTTTCGTAATAAGAAAAAACAGGTTCGATATGCAATATTTTAATTTTTTTATATACTTTTTCTATTTTTTTTATTACTTTTTTCTAATTATATACTTTCTTCCAACTTTAAAGATTTAATAAAATTATTTTTTTGAAAATCAATATTAATAAAAATTGTAATTCCAACAAAGTTAAATTACTGACATTTATGGTAATTGAAATTATTAATATTTTACTTTATTGTATTCTATTCATTATACTTAAAAATTTATTACATATTGTATATTATATTTTCAGTAATGATAATATTTATGTAGAATCAAAGTACACTTGACATATATACGTTGTATATACGAAAGATACTTGGTTTGCCCAAACGTTAAGAAAGGTTGGTAAGGTTAACGCGCGAGCGCAGGATGCAGAGCCATCTCATGATTATTGCAAAGAAATAGAGAAACAGAGAAAGAGAGCATGCGCGTTAGAAAAATGTATACTGACAATGAATCTGGTGGAAAATCAAAGAACAAAAAATCAAAGATGGGCCAACTCATCATTAGAATATGTTATACAATATAATTATAATCATAATAGAGTATCATAGTTTAGCAAATACATAGTTAATTAAAAAGTACATTTGTCTCATTTATTAACTCCATATATTTAGAATATGTTATACAATATAATTATAATCATAATAGAGTATCATAGTTTAGCAAATACATAGTTAATTAAAAAGTACATTTGTCTCATTTATTAACTCCATATATTTATTTCAATATGTTCTTTATTATCAAATTTTATTATTAAAAATTTTGGATACCCTAATATATTCTAATAATTTACGTTGCTATGAAAATACAGAAAAAGAGAATGTTAAAACCGCATCGTTCAATTTAAATGTTACTGTCATAAAATGTTTCATTTGTGGTTTCAGAAAAGCGTCAACATGCATGCGTACTTACATCACTAATGTTACTTCTGAAAGCGTAATGAGAATGCAGCAGTCTATGAAGATGCTTCAGATCTAGTCGCGATTCATCAATGCTCAGCTTCAAATAAGCTAAGCAGTATTGTCCTTGAATGCCTTCAGTTCCTTGAATTCCGACACATTCGTCAAAGTCGCCAAATTGATTTACATTTCCGTTTAGTAGACCAGACGGTATTTTTGCTGTTGCATCGTACACTTGAAAGAAAAAGTTGGGAAATATGAAACGATCGATGTGTATTACATAAAAATTGATGAAAAATTGAATTTTTAATTTTTGATATCGTAACTGTTGGTTGATATGAAGAAAAGTTTAAAAAAGTAGTTGTAGTATTGAAATTGTGTGAGCGTATTTATTTAGAATTAACTTTCTCATGAATAATGTGGTTTCCTCAAGAATGATGTAATGAAATAATAAAACGGAAAGGGTTATGTTTATTCGCTTTTGATATTTTCTCGTATGACTTTTCATTCAAGATGTGACTAGTGAAAGTAAAGTATAGTTTAAAAAATAATTGAAGAATTCAAGTGTAGAGAATTTACAATTTATGTTCAAAAAATTTATGGTATTACAGGTTGGAAATTATGATAAATTATATTTACTTTAAGGGCATATAGTAGTTACTAAAGTCAACTATGTGGTTAGCAAAAATATAGTATGTATAATGTACAAAAAATATATAAAAAAATGAAGAAATAAGTTATTAAAAAAATCCCTTAATTAATTGCTTAAATAAATAATTTTATTCGTCTTTTACAAATGTCTGTTGCACAGCATTGTACGTATAATAATATATTCTTTCATTTATATTTCATTTTTTATCTAATGTAATGATTACTATACATTTTCAAAATAAATATTTCATTTTTTTCATTTAACTTCATAAAGTTTCTATGAGTGAATAATGATAGAAAAGTTTTCGTAACAGATCGAAAGAGTCTGATTTAAACTAACTGCTTGGAAGTTACGACATCTGGTGTTACTGGTGAAATAAAAGGTATTTTATCGCTCGATAACAAAATTTTCGTACTTACAACAGTCTATCGTCAGAGGTCATTGCGAAAGAAGGATCATTAAAGACGAATTTGTCAATTGATTTTCGATTACTTTGAATTCAATGATCGCGTGGAAAAAAGTTTCTCTCGTATGGTATTCCTAATGTGTTCTTTGTTCGTTGCGATTCTTTCGTACTGAAATTTCGTCATTCGAAATTGTCGACAGCTTGTATGATTTGTACAGTCCGCGTTTTTCCATGTATATACATATATTATCAAGTTACAGAAGCGTAACTCCGTGAGTGAAAATAGAAAATCATGACATACTTGCGAGAAAAAGATTTCATTTAACATTTCGGAAAATGTAGTAATGTGAGTACCTACTTATTTTCATTTATATATTTTTTAATAGTTTCATATTCGTGATATTAATATTACATAGTATTAATATAATATTTGTTATTAAAGTAAATTAGTCATGTCTAATTGTTTATCATCCATTTATATTACGTTTGTAATTTAATAGAATTGAAGGTAATTCATTGTTTACATTCTATCAATATATATATATCAATTCTGTATTTATTATATCAGCATTGATAATCACGATGATTCTAATATTATTATATATATTATACTGTAATTACTATAATTGCTATTACTATAGTATTATGTACTATAATTACATTAATATATCACACTTGTTTTCATTAACTTCATATAAAAACATGGCGGGACTTTTGAATCCAAATCCACGAACGTGTATTTTATATCTTATGTAATAAGAATACGTAAATGCCGTAATAAATGACATCAATAAACAGCTCTTTAGAAAATTTTATAAAATATTTATTCTT